TATGTCACATCCTCATTACTCTCTAGGGACTACCTAGACACCTGCACTTCCTACTGTTCACTACAGGATTCCCAACTCTAACTATAGCAACACCTAGTGGCCAATTTGTTTTTTTACACCAGGCACCTTTGTGGCCATCCCCAACAGTGCAGTGCCACTTCTTAGCTATGATGAGAAAACCTGTAGATCCACCCATTAGCTGCATGCTCTGTTTTGTCTGGGCTTCTCCTTTACGGGAGAATCTTGAAATGTTCTCCAGTATTTTCAGAATCTTTCAGAACTCTCTGCAGCCTCCCACTCCATCCTCCGGAACTTCCAGCAGACTGGCCATCCATCATAAAGATTTATGTGGTTTGTTTGACAGCAATATGCAGGTTGTTCCCTCTGAGAGATTTATGTAATGTGGTTATTACAAACATCTATTGACTGAGCCGTTTGAAGTGAAGCAATAGAAGGGATAAGATTTCCCTGCTGAGACATACTCAGCTGAGAAGTATTATGTATTGATTTTCTCTTTTTTAACAATGTTACATTTCACTACTGTTGTGAAAACACTGTGGCTCCACTTCCAAGAACACAGAGTGGGCACTAATATTATTTGCCTTTATAAAGGGGTTTCTATTTACCTGTACCTCTCTGCCCCTTTTGAAAGTTGTTGTAGATTAAAACCCTACCTACCTAGATAGCATTTAGCACTGTGCATCATACGTAACTCTACTGCACGCTGGATGGACTGCAAGCAAACACCCTGGGAAACATTTCCTACAAGTCTGAGCCCGCTCGTGTACCTTTTTAATATGCCACCTCTACTCCTAATTTTCATATTACTATCCTGTGTTCCCAAAATCTCCTTTCTTTACCCCTGTGATCCACTCCAAAGCTTATAAATCTCACCCTCACTGCTACCATCTCCCTACTACTGCTCTCATCACCTCCTGCTGATCCAAACACCAGGGCAGGAAGGCATGTACACTCATATACATCCCACTCCCACCTTACTTTCCTCACCCTCCTTCTCCTAACCTCTGGGGATATCTCCCTAAACCCTGGTCCTCCACTATCTCACCCCCACACCAGGCACCCTCTTTCCTCCGGAAATTGCCGCAATCCACTTAATTTAATATCAATCCCCGTGCTCCTAAAAACCACGCTCCCTTTTTCATGTGCGCTATGGAATGCCTGCTCTGTCTGTAATAAACTCACCTTTGTCCATGACCTTTTTGTCTCCCGCTCCCTTAACCTACTAGCAATTACAGAAACCTGGCTTCAAGCAGCAGATTCTGTTTCTCCCGCAGCACTTTCCTATGGAGGCCTTCTTTGGACTCACTCACCCAGACCCAGTAGTCGGAAAGGTGGTGGAGTTAGTTTGCTTCTATCCCCACTGAGCACCTTTAAAGTCCTCCATGACCCTCCCTCTCTATCAGGGGCAGACTGACAACTCATGGGGCCCCCGGGCAATAGGGATCATGGGGCCCCTGTGTCCTTGCCTAAACTCAAAAAAGCCTATGAAAAAGGTACCAGGGGCATCTCATGGGGCCCCCTACTGTGCCTGAGATTCCAAATGGTCAGTCCGCCCCTGGACCCAGGAGATCCAGATGCAGGCCAGGTGCGGGTGCAGGAACGTAGGTGCAGCAGCGGGCAGGTATGGCGGCAATCAGGATGCAGACTGGGACCGGACACCGGAGCATGGATGCAGTAGCAAGCAGGTATGGCAGTGACCAGGATGCAGGCCAGGTGTGCAGGACCGTGGGTGTAATGTAGCAGCAGGTAAGTATGGCAGCCGTTAGGATGCAAGCCAGGTGCAGGTGCAGGTAGGTAAGTAAATGTAGCAGAATCAGACAAGCCGGGTCAGTATCTAGCAGCAGATTAAGTACAAGGGAGCAGGCAAGCGGATGGTCAGGGATAGCCGAGGTCGGTGCAGGCGGAGTTCTTTCTTAGTCAGGCAAATCAGAATACAGGTAACAGGATCAGGAATATGTGCAGGAATGTTGTAGACCAGAAGGCATTGATTTTACAGTTCTGCAGGTTTAAATAGCCCACCTGGTGTGATGTGTATGCTTACTGCCCATGCGCAAGTTTTCTCTATGCTTCTCTTCTTTTGAGACTCACTGCATTCAGCTGTTTTGTCCTATTTCTCTGAGGATTGCAGTTATCTACCGACCTCCTGGACCGGTATCCCACTTTGTTGATGACTTCTCTGCCTAGCTACCCTACTTTCTCTCCTCTAAAATACCCACTATCATTTTGGAGATTTTAATATCCCCATTAATGTGAACAACCCAGCTACAACCCAACTCAACCTAACCTAACATCTTTTGCCTTAACACAATGGATACAGTCTTCCACTCACTCTGATGGGAATACATTAGACCTTATTTTCTCCCGTCTTTGCACTCCCTACAACCTCACAAACACCCCCTTTCCTCCCTCTGATCACAATCTCATAACCTTTACAGTGTCCTCGTCTTCAAACACCTATCCCTCCAAGCAGCAAACAATTACCCGCAGAAACCTTCACAACTTTAACCCTTCTCTTTTCTACTCTGAAACTGACCGCCTCTATGACAGATTCTCTCCCCTGTCCTGCCCTGACCTGGCCACCGCTGTCTACAATAGTTCACTATCATCCACATTAGACTCACTTGCTCCTCTAACCACATGAAGCATCCAGCCCCGACCATTACAACCTTGGCAGACTGATGACAACAGAAATCTTCAGAGACATAGTCATGCACTGGAGCGAATGTGGCGTAAAACCAAATCACACCAATATTTCACCCTATATAAATCTGCTTTCTTAACATACAATTCCTCCCTCCATGCTGCCAAACAAGCCTACTTTGTCACTCACATCAATACCTTGTCATCCAGACCTCATTGTCTCTTCTTTACTTTTAACTCTCTACTTTCTCCACCTTCACCTCCACCCAGCACCTCACCCCCTGCTTACAAGATTGCAAATCATTTCAAGAACAAGATTGATGCAATTCGTAGGAGCATCTCTACTACACAGGCACCCATCCCACTTAGCATACCTCACACTAAACCTCCGTCAACACTTTCCTCTTTTGACCTTGTTACTATCGAAGAGGTCACTAAGGTTTTCTCAGAAGCCCATCTCACTACCTGCCCCCTGAATCCTGTCCCCTCACAACTGCTACAGTCACCCTCTTCTTCCATCCTATGCTCACTCACTCACATCTTCAATCTTTCCCTCTCTACTGGTGCCTTCCCCTCCCCTCTAAAACATACGCACATCACTCCCATGCTTAAAAAGCCCTCCCTGGACCCCTCCAACCTGAACAACTTAAGACCCATTTCCCTGCTCCCCTTTATCTCTAAACTCTTAGAACGCTTACTCTACAATCGCCTGAGCTCCTACCTCACTGACAACAACCTTCTTGACCACTTACAGTCTGGCTTTCGTTCACTACACTCCACTGAAACTGCCCTACTAAAACTCACTAATGATCTACTAACTGCTAAAACCAATGGCCACTACTCTGTACTCTTACTACTTGACCGCTCTGCAGCCTTTGATACTGTTGACCATCCCCTCCTCAAAAAACTCCACTCTCTTGGCCTGCAAGATTCTGCTCTCTCCTGGTACTCCTCCTACCTATTGCAGTGCTCCTTCAGTGTTGCCTATAACTCTGGCTCCTCCTCTCCACTTCCTCTTTCTGTAGGGGTCCCTCAAGGTTCTGTCCTTGGACCCCTTCTCTTCTCCATCTACACCTCCTCCCTTGGTTATTTGATAAAGTGACATATCGGCATGGATGTCACTTCACTTCCTCAAACTCAATCTTTCCAAAACTTAGCTCTTAGTATTCCCTCCAGCCTGTGCTCCCTCCCCTGACTTCTCCATCAAGACCAATAATACAACCATCAGTCCCTCCCCTCATGCCAGGGTGCTAGGTGTAATCCTAGACTCCCATCTGTCCTTTCAGCCTCAAATCCAATCACTGTCCAAATCATGTAAACTTCACCTCCGCAACATCTCCAAGATATGGCCGTTTTTAACCTCGGAAACTACTAAGCAACTTATTCACTGCCTTGCTATCTCTCGCCTTGACTATTGTAACTCCCTCCTCATTGGCCTACCTCATCGCAGGCTATCCCCTCTTCAGTATATCATGAATGCTGCTGCCAGACTCACCACCCACCTTACTAACCATTCCGTATCTGCCACCCCTCTCTGCAAATCCCTCCACTGGCTTCCCATTGTCCAACGGATAAAATTCAATACATTAACAATAACATATAAAGCCATTTATAAGTCTGTCCAAAATTACATCACCAATCTTGTCTCCAAATATCACCCAAACTGTACTCTCAGCTCCTCGCACGACCTACTGCTCTCTAACTCCCTTGTCTTCTCCTCCCATGTTCGTCTCCAGGACTTCTCCAGAGCTTCCCCCATCCTCTGGAACTCTCTACCCCAATTTATCAGACTATTGCCTACTCTGCTTACTTTTAGGTGATCTCTGAAAACCTATCTCTTCAGGGAAGCCTATCCTGTCCATAAGCTAATAATGGAATCTTCTACTCCTCCTACCAGTCCATCCCCCACAGTTACTACCTTTTGTACCACTAACCCTCCCTCCTAGATTGTAAGCTCCAAGGAGCAGGGTCCTCCTTTCCCTCTTGTATTGAACTGTATTGTTACTGTATTGTCTCCCGTTATATTGTAAAGTGCTGAGCAAACTGTTGTCGCCATATAAATTCTGTATAATAATATATATATACATATATATATATACACCGTATTTCATCTTATAGAGCGAATATGGAGCGGCCGGCCCAGTATTCCCGCCGCCGTCATGTTAGAATACCGGGCCGGCCGCTCGGCTCTACTGTGCAGAAGAACCTGCTTCTTGGTCCTACCTGTTCCTTGGTCCAGTAATGTCCTGCTTTCACCAGCCTTCTTCTCTTCCCAGCACCGGCATTTTCAGTGTGGGCACCCGGCTGTGGCAGCTTGTGGTTTCACAGACGGGTGCCCACTGCGCATGTGTGAGAAGCGCTGCACTTTGTGAACGGCCACCTGTAGTCTTCTAGGACCTGTCACATGTCTCAGAAGACTACGGGGAGGGGGGAGGATAACTCCGCGGAAGTGTGTGCGGGTACCTGTCAAATTTGGATACCCCCTCCATCCCCACTCCCTAAGGTCTGCAGTCTCTGGTCATCTCCTGTTGTATGTCCGCAGTCTCTGGTGATTTCCTGTAGTATGTCCGCAGTCTCTGGTCATCTCCTGTAGTATGTCTGCAGTCTCCGGTCATCTCCTGTACTCTGTCCGCAGTATCTGGACATCTCCTGTACTATGTCTGCAGTCTCGTCATCTCCTGTACTATGTCCGCAGTCTCTGGTCATCTCCTGTACTATGTCCGCCATCTCTGGTCATCTCCTGTACTCTGTCCGCAGTCTCTGGTCATCTCCTGTACTATGTCTGCAGTCTCTGGTCATCTCCTGTACTATGTCCGCAGTCTCTGGTCATCTCCTGTACTATGTCCTCAGTCTCTGGTCATCTCCTGTACTATGTCCGCAGTCTCTGGTCATCTCCTGTACTATGTCCGCAGTCTCTGGTCATCTCCTGTACTATGTCCTCAGTCTCTGGTCATCTCCTGTACTATGTCCTCAGTCTCTGGTCATCTCCTGTACTATGTCCACCATCTCTGGTCATCTCCTGTACTATGTCCGCAGTCTCTGGTCATCTCCTGTACTATGTCCGCAGTCTCTGGTCATCTCCTGTACTATGTGTGAGAAGCGCTGCACTTTGTGAACGGCCACCTGTAGTCTTCTAGGACCTGTCACATGTCTCAGAAGACTACGGGGAGGGGGGAGGATAACTCCGCGGAAGTGTGTGCGGGTACCTGTCAAATTTGGATACCCCCTCCATCCCCACTCCCTAAGGTCTGCAGTCTCTGGTCATCTCCTGTTGTATGTCCGCAGTCTCTGGTGATTTCCTGTAGTATGTCCGCAGTCTCTGGTCATCTCCTGTAGTATGTCTGCAGTCTCCGGTCATCTCCTGTACTCTGTCCGCAGTATCTGGTCATCTCCTGTACTATGTCTGCAGTCTCGTCATCTCCTGTACTATGTCCGCAGTCTCTGGTCATCTCCTGTACTATGTCCGCCATCTCTGGTCATCTCCTGTACTCTGTCCACAGTCTCTGGTCATCTCCTGTACTATGTCTGCAGTCTCTGGTCATCTCCTGTACTATGTCCGCAGTCTCTGGTCATCTCCTGTACTATGTCCTCAGTCTCTGGTCATCTCCTGTACTATGTCCGCAGTCTCTGGTCATCTCCTGTACTATGTCCGCAGTCTCTGGTCATCTCCTGTACTATGTCCTCAGTCTCTGGTCATCTCCTGTACTATGTCCTCAGTCTCTGGTCATCTCCTGTACTATGTCCACCATCTCTGGTCATCTCCTGTACTATGTCCGCAGTCTCTGGTCATCTCCTGTACTATGTCCGCAGTCTCTGGTCATCTCCTGTACTATGTCCGCAGTCTCTGGTCATCTTCTGTACTATGTCCGCAGTCTCTGGTCATCTTCTGTACTATGTCCGCAGTCTCTGGTCATCTCCTGTACTATGTCCACAGTCTTTGGTCATCTCCCGTACTATGTCTGCTGTCTCTGGTCATCTCCTGTACTGTGTCACCAGTATCTGGTCATCTCCTGTAATATGTCTGCAGTCTCTGGTCCTTTCCTGTACTATGTCTGCAGTCCATTGGTTCAGAATATTTTTTGCGTTTTATGGTCAGGTGCGTCTTATGGAGCGAAAAATATGGTGTATATATATATTGCTCAAAAAAAATAAAGGAACACTTTTTAATCAGAGTATAGCATCAAGTCAATTAAACCTGGGATATTGATCTGGTCAGTTAAGTAGCAGAGGGGGTTGTTAATCTGTTTCAGCTGCTTTGGTGTTAATGAAATTAACAACAAATGCACTAGATGGGCAACAATGAGATGACCCCCAAAACAAGAATTGTTTTACAGGTGGAGGCCACTGGCATTATTTTCCCTACTCATCTTTTCTGACTGTTTTTCACTATTTTTGTATTTGGCTTGAGTCACTACTGGTAGCATGAGGCAATACCTGGACCCATCAGAGGTTGCACAGGCAGTCCAACTTCTCCAGGATGGCACATCAATACGTGCCATTGCCAAAAGGTTTGCTGTGTCTCCCAGCACAGTCTCAAGAGCATGGAGGAGATTCCAGGAGACAGGCAGTTACTCTAGGAGAGCTGGACAGGGCCTTAGAAGGTCCTTAACCCTTCAGCAGGACCGGTATCTTCTCCTTTGTGCAAGGAGAAACAGGATGAGCAGGATCCTCTCTGTGGTAAAGAAAAACCCGTTCACAACATCCAGACAAGTGAAGGACACTCTCCAGGAGGTGGGTGTATCATTTGTCAAAGTCTACAATCAAGAGAAGACTTCAGGAGAGCAAATACAGAGGGTTCACCACAAGGTGAAATTCATAAGCCTGAAGAATAGAAAAGCCAGATTAGACTTTGACAAAAATTTTTTTTAAAAAAGCCAGACCAGTTCTGGAAAAGCATTCTTTGGACGGATGAAACTAAGATTAATCTTTACCAGAATGACAGGAAGAAAAAAGTGTGGAGAAGGCTTGGAACAGCTCATGATCCAAAGCACACAACGTCATCTGTAAAACATGGTGAATGCAGTGTGATGGCATGGACATGCATGGCTTCCAGTGGCACTGGGTCATTAGTGTTTATTGATGATGTGACAGAAGCAGCCGGATGAATTCTGCAATGTTTAGAGATATACTCTCAGCCCAGATCCAGCCAAATGCAGCAAAGTCGATTGGAAGGCGCTTCACAGTACAGATGGACAATGATCCAAAACACACTGCAAAAGCAACCCAGGAGCTTTTGAGGGAAAAGAAGTGAAATATTCTACAATGGCCGAGTCAGCCACCTGATCTCAACCCCATTGAGCATGCATTTCACTTGCTGAAGGCAAAACTAAAGGCAGAAAGACCCACAAACAAAGAACATCTGAAGACAGCTGCAATTAGAGCCTGGCAAAGCATCAGAAAGGAGGAAACCCAGTCTTTGGTAATGTCCATGGGTTCCAGACTTCAGGCAGTCATTGCCAGTAAAGGATTCTCAACAAAATATTAAAAATTAACATTTTATTTATTATTATATTCAAACGTCCAATTACTTTTGGTCCCTTGAAAAAGGTGGCATGGCTACTCTTAAGAGCTGTAATTCCTAGACCCTTCCTGCAATTTGGATGTACATACCCTCAAATTAAACCTGAGAGTGTGCACTTTCAGAACATATCCATTATATAACTGTAGCTTGAATATGTTTTGGTAAATACCTGAAAAAACCTAAAATTGTGCCTGGGCCTAACTGTATACTGTATGTATATATATATATTACCATAAAATTATGTTTTTTTCTTTTTTTTTGCATCTCAGTGCTGTTGATCTCCTCCAGTCTTTTTCAGCTACTGCTTGTATTTTTTCTCTATCTAAGGTAATCTTGGTTTCACATCTGTGCATGTTCGCTTGTACAGACACTCGTCTCGAAAAGGGCAGCCTGTTCATTTCAAAGGGCTGCCCTGCCCTCGAGAAATGTGGGGAAAGGAGGCCCTGACCTTTCTTTTTAAATTTGGCCACATCAAAACCACATGATGCCTAGGAACCTTGTGATTTGGTGCATGCGAAAACACTCCATGCCGATGCGTGGGCGCTAATAAGAGTTAATGACACGACCATGAGTCTCCTAATGTGCAGCACATTTCTCTGTGGGTCAGTAACATGTGTGATTTTACACGCATTCCCCACACTCAGAGATGTGAACCTAGGCTTAGTGTCACACTAATGATACAACTTCTTAACATACATTTAATAGATTTGTCTGAACAAGAAGAAATATTTACCAGTGGTATATCTTAACACTCAACATTTCATATGTCTATAGAAATACACTTTAATATGCATTAAACATTTTAGGAATTTTGATGTTAATGTTTTTGAATTTATCAATCCAGTGGGGAAAGGAGGATAGGAGATGCAATATTAAGAGTGTCACATTTTAAAGAATGGATGGGAGTAAGGCAAGCTGGGAGTGGGACTGTCAGTGCTTTTTTGGACTGGAGTTGACTAAAAGGACCACCTGGCGTGGAGAGAGACTGTCACTGTGACTCAGGAGCAGGGCCAGTTTTAGGCATTTTAGGCATGTGCCTACAGGTTCCCTTCCTAGAGGGGTGCCCGTCTCTCTCAGGTCCTCTGGAGGAGGAGGCTGGTCTATGGAAATCTCTCAAGTTCCTCCTGACTATGTCAGCTGGAGCTGACATAGTTGCAGTGGAAGGTTATGAGCGGCCGTTGGCTGCACTGTGTCCAGGCTGCGTAAGGCGTTCTGGCGCTCTCACCTGGATTTCCAACCCTTCCTATGGAATTACTAGCCAGACAGGCCCGACAGGACAGTGCGGTGACATAACATTGTACTGCTTTTGCTGGATATTAGGTCTGTATGGACGGAGGATCATGTAGCTGGATAACTGGGGGTTGCGTTAGGTGAGCACTATCTTCTGCTCATACCTGACACTCTGTACCAGGCTGTACACCTACTGATGGCACTGAGGGGGGTTCTGTGTACCCCCATATAGTCTGAAGGGTTCTGTCTACTGTCAGACTCCATATCCTCCTCTTACCAACATTTCACATATAAGATCACTTCATGTCACCCTTCAAGTTGTTTCTTCCTGGACACTGCTTGAGATCTCTCTCTGTCTCTATCCTTCTCTCTCTCCCCACAGAGTGAAACAAACAAACTGCTAATGCATTCAAACTTGCTGCATCTGTCTCAGTGCCAGTGTTGTCACTAGGACAGGAAGTAAAAGAGAATATTGCCAACATAGCTACACACAGTAGTAAAAACCTAGCAAAGGTGCTAAACCTTTCACATTCTAGTCAAAAGGAAAAATGCACACTGAAGGGAAGGAGGGGAGGGTGGATCACACTGAATGGACTGTGGACCCTGATGTAAAGGAGAATGCTGCTGACTGTGATGTAAGGGGGGGAGGGCTTGGTGAACAGAGACCACCTTATATCAGTATTCCATGTTACATCACAGTCCGCAGTGTTCCCCTTTACATCAACGTCTGCAGTGTTCCCCTTTACATCAACGTCTGCCGTGTTCCCCTTTACATCAACGTCTGCAGCATTCTCCTTTACACATATAAAAATATTTTGGCAAGAAAAAAAACGTAGGTCTTACTGTCTTTTTTTTTTTGGGGGGGGGGGTGCTCTTCAGAATTCTCTGTCTATAGGCTCCTATGATGTAAATCTGGCCCTGCTCAGGAGGGGACGTGGCATGTTGTTGAGGTGTCATTATCATCTGTGCTACTGCACTCTGCTGTCAGCGTCACTGTGAGAGTCAATTTCATGTGTGTCTTCCTGCCCATTCTAACTCCTTGTCCTCCTGTTCCAGAGCTACTTACTTACTATAATGAAAGAAAAATAAGAGATATGTTTTTTGCCCTAACATCTACCTTAAATCACATTACTGATTGCATTCTGTACTTGTTTGTAGCCTAACTACTGAAATACT